CAATAGCAAACAAATTACAGAGCCGCCATAACTACAAGCCACCATTTAGATGTTTATCACCTACCTGTACAAAGCTAGACAAACCAAGAACACATTCTCACGCAATGATCTCATCACTCTGCTTCCCAAAAATGCTAGGACCAAAAGTCGACAGCACCACCTCCGCCAGCAGAGGAAACTGCAGGAACGCAAACAGAATCGAAGGCACAGACGCCACCAGCCCAATCGGCGCCAGAATCCATCTCACCTTATGGTACAGAATAATGTGCAGCGAAGCCCCAAATGCCGTCATCATGGCAGCAATCGACAAGAAGAGCGCGAAAAGCCCGATCCCCATCTTCATCGGCAGCGACCTCAGGAAATCCCTCTCCGAGTATCTCGCGGTCATGATCCCCAGAAACATGAGCAAGGAAGTTGAGCCGGAGAAGAGCGCCAGGATATCGGCAGCCACAAACACGATGAACGGCCCGTTGTTGATGTAGATCGGGACGCCCTTGTCGTTGGCTCCTCCGGGCAAGGTAAATGCTGCTGCGAAGACAACCGTGACGACGAGTGCCGCCACGACGGAGCAGGAAAGTGCTGTGTCTTTCATCCATTTCTCCCCTTGCTCGATTAGGGACTTGTGCTCTTCGGTGAAGAGATTCCGCGGGGTTTTCCACGAGTAGTTCTTCATCTCGCGGTACGATGGTTGGACCATCTTCTCCACTTCCTGCAAAAACCATAAAAAAAATTAAAACTTTTCCTGAAACAAAAATGGAGTATCAAGATCAGATCATAAGTTTTTGAGACTCACATTAAACCATTGCAGTTCGCGCTGCACTTTGAGAGCAGCGCCTGGAATCCTCTCCGTGTCCCCCAACTTCCCTGCCAAGTGCAGCAAATTGTCTCCGGAATCCCTAACCCTCAGCGCCGTCGCGAAGTTTCGATTCGCGCTCATCTGGTACAGAATGTTGAATACCTTCTCCTGACGATTGATCACCGCGAGGTGGAAAATGTACATGCCGTTAGGATCCGCCAGCCAAATGGCGTTCGGGTAGGCCTTAACGATCTCGGTCACAATTTCGTAGATCCCCAATGCGGCTGCAAAGACAATTGGAGGTGCCAGAAGCCGATCGAATTCGGCCGTGGTCTCTGCTTTCAGGACTCCAGAGATCAGCAGCCTGAGGAGCTCCATCGCTCGTCTGTGTTTCGTTAGCTCCAATTTCGTTTCGCCCCGATTTTTTTCGACGTCGTCGGAGGAGGAAGAACGAGCTGAGCAAGTCGTCTTGCCTAGTAAGGAAATGCAATGCCGCCAGAAACGTTGGCAATGTCCGATCCTCGTACCACTAGGAAATGCAAGTGGCTTCTCTGCTAGAGTGGATATGGCTGTTCGGCCGAAGGAGTCGTGCTCGCGAGCTAGTGAAGGGAATCTTCGAAGCACTTCGACAGCTAAGCCTGTTCAACATTCAATTTGCAAAGATTAAAAACAGAGTGTTAATTCAAATTCTCACTATGGAATGATGATGAATTTGATTACCATAGAAATCGCCGACGACGAGCAGATTGAGCAGCTTGGCGCCGTCCTGTCCGGCGAACGGACTCGGATCCACATCCTCCTTCGTCACCGACAGCAGGTACTCGAAAGTCTCCCTGTGCCCGTACCGCGCCGCGGAGTGAATCGGTGCGTCGCCGAAGTTGTTGTTCTTGAGATGCAGCAGCGACGGCGCCTTCGCCACCAGAATCCTCGCGGCCTCCGTGTTGCCCGCGATGGCCGCATTGTGGAGCGCGGAGCCGCCGTACCCGTCGGTGAGCCGGACCGAGGTTTCCGGCAGCAGGTCGACGAGGTTGCGGACGAAGTGGAGGAAGCGGCCCGTGTTGACCGCCACGTGGAGGGTGGTCTCCTGCCACTCGGAGAGGCGGGCGGTGAGGGCGGAAGGGTCGGAATCGAAGATTGATTTTGCCGTCTCCCAGTCGCCGTTGATTACCGTCTTCAGGAGGTGGAGGTAGTGCTGCTGCTGATGGTTGTTGATGTTGTTGTCATTCCGTTGACTATTCGTCTCCATCGTGTTGATGTTGTGGTGCGGGAGGGGGAAATGAAAATTCGGAATAAGAGAGTGGTATAAGATACAATATTGAGACGGAGAAGCGCGAATAAGGATCGTGGATGTACTGTAGGGAAGAAGCAGCAGAGTGTCTTTGGTGGTCGGGGGTTGAGTGAGAAGAAGTGGTGATCCTTTCCTTGGTGGGAGGGTTTGGGGGAGGGAAGAGTCAAACTCAAGTTGGAGAAGAAAGATTTAATGCATCGCCATCAATCAATAGAGGGGGGGAAGTACAGGATTCAAATTTAATATTTACAGGCTGGAGTATGCATTATTATTGTTTATTGGAAGTGGTTGGCTTTCACTTTGCATTTTGACATCGGGTTAATTGCATGGTTGGTCACTGAGATTACAAATAACGTTCAAGTTTGGTCACCCGAAATATTTAAATCCATTGGTGGTACTTCAGTTTACTGAAACCGTTCATGTTTGGTCACTCTCCGTCCAACTCCGTTAACTTTTGCTTACGTGGCAGTCAACTCTAAAAGTTGACCGTTAAATATGTGACGTGGCAATTTAAAAATAATAAAATTAAATTTTTTAAAATTGCCACCCCATTTCCACCTCATTTTCACTTTTATTTAAAAATAAATAAATAAATAAATCCTAATTTTTGCCCCCAATATCAATACCCAACCTCTTTGAGGACACCCGCCATTGGGAAGCATTCTCCCCCGACGAGCGCTACTTCATCACCCACGTCCTCGCCTTAACCACCTCCGACGGAATCGTCCTCGTCAATCTCGCCGGCCGGTTCATGAAGGAAGTGCAAGTAGCGGAGAGCTAGGGCCTTCTACGGGTTCCAGATCGCCATCGAAAACATCCACTTTGAGATGTACAGCCTCCTTCTCGAGACCTACATCAAGGACTCCGACGAGAACAGCCGCCTCTTCCGGCCCATCGAGTTGGTGCCTTGTGTGGCCAAGAAGGCCCAGTGGGCCTTGAAGTGGATCGACGGTGGGGAATCGTTCGCCGAGTGGTTGATTGTGTTTGCCTGCGTTGAAGGGATCTTCTTCTCCGGGAGCTTCTGCGCGATATTTTGGCTAAAGAAGCGTGGATTGATGTATGGATTGACGTTCTCCAACGAGCTGATCTCGCGAGATGAAGGACTTCATTGTGATTTTGCCTGATTCTTGTATGGGTTGATGAAGGTGAAGCCCAGGGATGCGGTGGATATGGAGAGGGAGTTTGTTTGTGATGCCCTGCCGTGCGTGCTGTTAAGGATGAATGGGGCTTTGATGAGCCAGTACATTGAGTTTGTTGCTGATAGGTTGCTGGACTGCCTTGGCTGGCAACCGGAACGAGCTCGTCTCTTTGCTCTCCATGTTAATTAGGGGTCTGTTTGCAGTGTTGATCGTGCGATAACGACGATTCGATGCGTCATTTGAAAAAAGAAAATCTCTATCACATCAACTAGTAAGGGATTAACATGGAGAGCAAAGAGACATGTTGCTCTGTTTGCAGGTGCTGCATTTGCTGTATCCCAACTTGGTAGATGAGTTGAATGATGATAGGATTATTTTGTATGCTGTAAATGTAACTCCGATGACCTGAATCTCAGCATCTATAATGAGTCTTCTCCCCTAATACGCTGGTTTGCAAGGTAAGCGCAGTTATAAGGACACACGTATCCAAGATGTAGTGTTGACAATACTCATGTTAAAGAGGAAAATAGTATGCGAGTATGTGATCCTTTAATTCTGCTTATAGTGATGAATGAATGTGAAATGGGAGGCACTAAGGTCATGTGCCATTTTTTGTACTGTTCTCGACTACATCGGCTGAAAAAATTATCCATGAGGATGATCAGCCGGCAGATCCCCCTGCATTTCCATTCCCCCTCGATCGTCGTCGATAATGGTTCTGGTTTTCGTTCCACCGCAGGATTGAGGCAAAGGGAAAAGGGATCCTGCAGCACTGCGCCCCAGGCCCGGCGTCTGGGAGTCCTTTAGGGTCAATCTCCATGCTCTGGTTGTTGAGGAGCTCACTGTTCCCGAGTACCTTCACTTCAAGAATTGTGATTATAATTATTTTTTTATTTTTTTTTATTTTACTTTATTGTGAAAATGAGTTGGAAATGGTAGAAGATTAAAATTTATTTTATTTTTTATTTTTTAATTGCCACGTCATCGAGTTAACGGTCAACTTTGAGGGTTGACTGCCACATCAGACATATTTAACGGAATTGGACGGAGAGTGACCAAACTTGAACCATTTAACTAATTTGAGTGACCAAGATTGGATTTAAATATTTTCAGTGACCAAACATGAACGTTTTTTATAATCTCAGTGACCAACCATGCAATTAACCCTTTTGACATCTGTTTGTTTGGCCAACATTTTAGCAGTGTTGCCAAGCCGTGGTCCGATCGGTCGGTTGGATTAGGTCTGATTAGAGTCGTTATTGAAAACAATCTCATAAAGTCGTTTACCTATCAAACCGGTAGTCAGTTAAAAGTTAAAACCACAAAAGATAACCAATGATTTACTGGTTTTAGTTAGACTCTTAGACAAAAATCAAAATGGTGTGTATTGGTCCACTTTCAAAAGTCAACCCCAATTTTAGAAAACGACGCAAATATACACAACTTTTAGGTTAAGATAATGTATTAAGTCACTAAATTAGTATGGTATCTATCAAATCACATTCAAGTTATTAAAATCTTAAATTATTACCATATGTGCGCATTTATTTCCATACTATGTATAACACTGCTTAACCCTTTTTATATAATGGATGTACCCTAGTCCCTAATCCTCTAAACTCCACCTATCATTTAATCTAAAAATAATAAGCGATGGTTCTGATTCATCGAAGTATATCGAAATAGAACTAATAGGTGTGAAGCAGACATATATATTATATGTTAGACATATGCTTGCAATATATATATATATTCACTTGTTCTTTTAATTTTTGCAGATTGTGGAGTAGTGACATGTACAGAACCATTAACATACACACCTCCAGGTTCACCATGTGGATGTGTGTGGCCAATCCAAGTTGAACTCGGACTCGATGTGGCTATCTACAGTTTCTTTACTTTGGTCACAGAGTTGGCAGAAGAAATTGCAGCTAGTGTTGGGCTGAACCACAGCCAAGTTAGGATCATGGGAGCAAATGCAGACAATAATCAGCAGCTGGAGAAATCAACTGTTCTCATCAATCTTGTTCCTCGCGAATTAAGATTTGATTATGCTGCTGCTTTGTCCATCTACAACAAATTCTGGAACAAGCAAGTTCTCATTAAAGATTCTGTCTTTGGTGCCTATGAGGTTTTAAATGTCCACTATCCAGGTCAAAAATTTCACCAGTCTTTCCCTTATTAAAAGTGTTAAAACTACAAGGCAATTATTAGGAGAATCATTTGAATCTCTTATGTTTCTTCAGTTGGTTCTTACTTTTGAAACATTTGCACAATCTGCAGGCCTTCCACCTTCTCCACCTTCCCCTACCAGCATTTCAACTATAGACGATGGACCATATTCTGGCCGCAACCATGGTGGGATGGTGGTCAAGCCTCTGGGAGTAAACGTCCCAAGAAGGAAGAAAGATGAGATTGGTGGAGGCATCATAGCTATCCTGATAATTTGTTCGCTCGCCGCCCTGGTTATCTGCTTGGCAATAGTTTGGTTCCTGGCGCTGAAAAGTAGAAATTGCATTACTCATAAACCTCAAGAATCATCCAATCATGCCACATTTCCCCCCTCTCCTAAAAAACCGCTAGGTATTTCTTTCAACCAAACTTCAATCCATATTTTACAACGGGAACCATTCTACATGTTATGTTTTGTTAGTAATTTTGCTCAATTTTGGCAGGGACGGGAGGAGTTAAAGTAATAGGAACCATGTCGAGCTCTTCTGCATACACAGGCTCTTCTGCATACACAGGCTCTGCCAAGACCTTTACTTTGAGTGAAATACAGAGAGCTACCAACAGTTTCAATGCTTCTAGGATTCTTGGAGAAGGTGGGTTTGGCCTGGTTTATAGTGGGAAGCTGGAAAATGGGAAGGAGGTTGCTGTGAAGGTGTTGAAGAGAGATGATCATCATGGCAGCAGGGAGTTTCTAGCAGAAGTCGAGATGCTCAGCAGGCTGCATCACAGAAATCTTGTGAAGTTGATTGGCATTTGCTCCGAAGGCCATACTCGTTGCCTTGTTTATGAACTCGTCCCAAATGGAAGCCTGGAATCACACTTACATGGTAGATTTAGTTTTATGATCAAACATTCATTAAATAATACAAAAATTATGATCAAACAAATAGTGCTATTAGTACATGGCCATGCTTTCTGAATGTGAAATTTCCTGTGCAAATGCTAGGGGCTGACAAGGGGTCTGATCCCCTTGACTGGGATGCAAGAATGAAGATTGCTCTTGGTGCAGCTCGGGCTCTAGCATACTTGCACGAGGATTCGAGCCCTTGTGTCATCCATCGGGACTTCAAGGCTAGTAACATCCTTTTGGAACGTGATTTTACACCCAAGGTTTCAGATTTTGGCTTGGCTAGAACTGCCATTGATGAGGGAAACAAGCATATCTCCACACATGTCATGGGAACTTTCGGGTATGATCATACATCCCTCAACTTTCTTAACAGTTTCTGAGATAGAAATTCTTGTCTTCCAGACTTGTTGAGTCTTTTCTGTTTCATCAGCTACCTGGCTCCTGAATATGCAATGACCGGCCATCTCCTAGTGAAGAGCGATGTGTACAGCTATGGTGTAGTCCTCCTTGAGCTCCTAACTGGTCGTAAACCGGTGGACTTAACTCAACCACCTGGTCAAGAAAATCTAGTTGCTTATGCACGTCCATTGCTAACGAGCGGAGAAGGACTAGAAGCCCTTGTTGATCCAGCTATAAAAATGTCCAGTAGTGTCTCATTTGACATAATTGCCAAAGTAGCAGCCGTTGCATCCATGTGTGTCCAGCCAGAGGTCTCGCATCGGCCTTTCATGGGCGAAGTGGTTCAGGCATTGAAGCTTGTCTGCAATGAGTTTGATGAAGCAGCAGCAACAGAAGTCCAACAGATTAAACAAGCTCCCAACCATGAGAGCTTTCTGATGGAAGGAGTTGAGATGAAAAACAAAGGAGGACTGTCAAGTGAGCTTATAGATGTTGTTTTTTCGCAGTCTCAACGCCACCCTCCTCTTCCATTGTCGTCGACTTCTGGTGATCTGTTGTGTTCAAGTGTGGGAATTGAAGAAGGGGTGGATTCTGGTGTTCATAGAAGGCAATGTAGCTCTGGACCACTGATAACAGGGAAGAATAGACAGTTCTGGCAGAGGTTTAGAGGCAGCAGAAGTGCGCATGGATTTCTCCCAGTGAAGTTGTGGCCCAGGAACTAGCTTAAAAAACAACCAGACGGAACATCTCATGCAGAGGAAGTGGTACGAAATAGGCAAGAGTTCATTGTATTTTCAGATTCTTTGAACAAGTATTATTCTGTCTCGAGCCAGTTTTTCCTTGATTCGATTGTTTTTTCGTTCGTGTCATTGATTATGTTAAAGTTCCTGAAATGGCCTGGGGTTATACAGTTTCACTTGTCTCATTCAGTTCCAATCATAAAACCAGGCAAACAGCTAGATTCTAGTTAAATCTAAGGAATTAATCCCAAGGTTCAACAAAAGGAAATGACTTTCCTTGTATCCCAAGAAACCACCTGAATCACCTGGAAGAGCCATCAACACCGGCCTTAAATGACTGGAAGGAAAGATTATTTCTTTCTTTTTTGTGTTCAAAGGCAAAAAGGACAGGACATTACATTCATAATGCTTCACTTTCCTTCAACTAATTTCACAGTTCTTACTGCAGTAGACCACAATAACAGTTACTCAAATTATGAAATTAAGGATACAAAACATTCTCCGGACTTCCCACTTTTCTACACCTTACAAATACCTATGACACACAACACACATTAATAATAACCTACATCACAATTAAACCCTCTATTCAGCTACAATTCTCATTAATGAACCCTAGTCCTCATAGTGCCATAGAAGAGATCCTTTGATCTTCACACACCTGCAGCTCCTTTCCCTAATCTGTCCTCCAAAATCTTCAGCCCCATGTACCTGCAAGAAAAAAACCCCATAAAACATCGATTCAGTCGAGGTACACAGATGCAGAAAACTACGATGCGAAGAGCGAATTTGATCCCACACCTTCCCATCATCATGACAGTAGCTTGGGGATTAGTCCCAGGAGACTCATCGAAAACCGACCCATCCACGATCCTCATCCTACGCACCCCGAGAACCTTGTACTCCGAGTTCACAACCTTCCCCACATGACACCCACCGTGGTAATGCCAGATCGTGATCACGGTATCCCTACAGAACTGCTCGATCGACTTGGTGTCGTTGGGATGCTTGGGAACCAAGTTAACATTGGCATGAACACTAGCATTCAGAATCCTCTCCCTGGTCTCCCAATCACACTTCAAGATCTGCGTAAACTTCTTCGACTGCACGATCCTCGTAGCCAATCGTATCCCATCGACACATCGCTGGAGGTCCCTCGGATGACTGAAGTAGTTGAATGTGACCGACGGATTCTCTTCCACATTTGTGCTGATCAACTTCAGGTCCCCCGACGAGATTGGATTCGCAATTTTTTCGAGTATGAACCCTCCTTTGAACGCCTCGTGTGGCAACTCCTTCTTCCTCCTGATGAACGCAGCAACCGCCTCTGGCGTCCTCTGCTTCGGAGGAATTGTGGATAGCTGTCCTATCTGGAAACAGGGGAAACACACAAAACAGAACATTAGACCAAAGATGGGAACCAAAACCCAATTAGCTACCCTTTCTTTTTGCTATTTACGTTACCTCGGCAGACATGATCCCATGGTGACACTCAATGCTGTCATTGGACTGACCGAACCCGCTGCTTGCCTCAATGTAAACCCCCAGCTTCGTGATCCCAACGGTCTGTATCAAAGACTGGCTCACCGGTTCCTTGGTCGGCACGAAAATCGAATTCATCGGATTGTCCGCCATTCCTTTCCCGACATTCACATTGTCCAACACGACAGGGATGTTGAGCCTGTCGAGCTCCGGTTTCGGCCCGATCCCGCTCAGCAGCATCATCTGCGGCGTCCCGATCGCGCCGCAGGAGAGCACGACCTCGCTCCTGACGTCATTGTTGAGAAACGCCTGGTGGAGGTTGCCGTTCTCATCCTTGAACAGCACGCCGACGGCCTTGGGGTGGGTTTTGGGGGAAGATGGCGCGTCGAAGAGGACGCGCTGGACGGAGGCGTGGACGAGGACGGTGAGGCGGCTGGGGTTGGCGGTGGCGAGGAGGTCGGCGGCGGTGTGGCGGCGGCCGAAGCGGTCGAAGATGGTGCCGCCGAATTTGGTGCCGTTGATGTGGTCGTAGGTGAAGCCGTTGAACGGGGAGACGCCCAGCTCCAGGAGGCTGTCGCGGACGGCGACCTGCCACGGCGCGACACGTGGCCTGTGGACGATTTGCTTCTCCACCCACGGGTATGACTCGTTGACCAGCCTTTTGTCCCAGCCGACCTTCTCTATGAACCTGAGAATTTGAGGAAGAGTCGGTCAGAGGATTAATCCTGCAATTTTATGCTTACCTAAACTTATTTTTCTTACGAAAAAGCCCTTAAAGTTTGCAACTCTTTGCAAATTGGAGATCTCTTCTGACACTTAATGATTCTCATAAATGAGAAATCTCTCACCATCGAAACAACTTCCAACCACCTTACAGATGCATTATTGGTATATTCTAAGTAGCAAAACAATAATACAGACTATGACTTGTGTTAAACCAAGAACTTGACTTGGGAGTGTTTTGTCTCAAAACGTCGACATCGGTCAACTAATTGATACATCGGTGTCAAAGGGTCTTCCTTAGGTTTTGCATTAACCCATTTTTTCAGGCCATAATAGGGGAAGGTGCTAGAAGCCCATAAATGACGGGCACTACTGACCATGCTTGTAAAATTACCTTTGGCTACCTAATTTAACGAAAAGTGCAAGACTTTTCCTCACCCAAGAGGAAACCTGGTTGGATGGATCTCAAATTTCATGAACTTGGAATCCTTTTCCTCCACCAAAAAGTTTATTAAACCTTTATCTTCCTTCACCCATGAGCACTTCCCAAAGTTTCCATCTTTTTATCAATCTATAGTTCCCCATTATTACCTCTTCTCTTAGTGTCCACATAACTTACATCCAGCATGGACACACCCTCATGTGACCGCTCTCACAAACTAGGCAAAAGAACAAAGCAAGGGAAAGTTTGTGGATCTGTATCATGCTACTCTTGAAGAAAGGAAAGTTTGTGCCAACTCATTATAGCCGTACAGCTTAAAATGAATAGTTGTCATTTTATGTTTATACAAAACGAACTTCATAGTTCAAAAGGAAGGAAATTTGAACATACCATAACAATCATGTGATTCGATTAATATTTTCTCGCACAATGTCACCAGATCGATTCCATAAATCAAGAAAAAAAGCTTGAGCAAACCCATTACATATTACAAAGGGCAAGCTTAATAATGTTTAACTAATTTTGTAAACGGCTAACTCTAGAGTATAAAGACATTTTGTTTTTTTTTTGCAAACCCTATAGGGGAAAGAGTCTCACTCTCACATTACCACTATATAAACTTCAAAAGTTAAAAAAGGAAGAAACTTTCAGCAAACCCATGAATGTTTTCTTTTCATGTCATCACTAGACCTGAGTCCTTAGGATCAAGAAGAAAGGAAATCTGAGCAAAACCCATCACTAAAACAGATCCAAATAAGCAGAAAACGAGGACAAAATCAAAGAGAGAGAGATAGAGATAGAGTAAAGATCAAACCTTTGGCTAGCTCTAGTGTAGAACCCAGCATTGATGCAAGTCCCACCACCCAGAACTCTAGCTCTAGCATTCAAAACACCATCAGTGGAGACGAAGTACTGAGACGCAGAGTAGGGTGAAGTATCAGCCAGTGCTATGTGGAAGTTCCTGAGGAACGAGACATTGGCGTTGGAAAATGGAACACCCCCTCTCTCAAGCAGAAGAACACTGAAGTTCCTGGAAAGTGTTGCTGCTAAAGGGCAGCCAGCTGTTCCACCTCCCACAATTATGTAGTCATATGAACTGTCTGATGTCCCACTTGATGAGAATGAAGATGAAGATGTGAATGTGCTTGCTTTCCTTATGAATGGGTACTTGTAGTACTCATGGAATTCCTCCTCCTTAGCTGAATACAAACAACAGCAAGCATATGTACATTGGTGGGCAGTGATTGAATTAATCAATCAAGAGTAAAGTTGGCTTCTTTTTGGTTTTCCTTCTAATTTATCAATTAGGGTAGCAAATTATATAATGACAAATGTGCATTATTAGTTAGCTGTGTATATTGGTGGGGGATATTAAGTGAACCTCAACAGCCAACTACCCTTCTTCTTCAAATCAGTATCAGCCTTACAGTCCCAATAACCTGAAACTTGTTCTAAGTTCTAACTTATAGCTAGCACATTCCACAAGAAGGGTGAAGTGGGAGAACTTAAGTCTTAAACCATAAGTGTCAGAGGTTAGCTGATCCCAAACACAATCTGACTGAGCTAGTTAACTATGCATTAACAAAGATATATATTAAAAAAAGGGGAGTTTCAATTCTAGAGGGAGAGAGATTGTTCACCTTGAGAGGAAGAGAGAAGGAGGAGCAGAAGTAGGAAGGAAGAGAGAAGGAAAAGCTTGGAGTTGATATTCATCACCACTTCTCTTCCTGCTGCTGCTGTTGCTGCTGCTGTTGTTGTCCCAGCAAAGGCCATTGGATGGAAGAAATTTTTTAAAAAAGAGGGAAGGGAGAAAGGAATGAGTTGTGACTTGTGAGAGAGAGTGGAATCCAAAAGGTAGCAAGAAAGAAAGAAAGAAAGAAAGACACTATTTTGATCACACCAGCTTGACAGTTGCCTTCTTCATCTATGTCTCTCTCTCTCTTTCTCTCTATGTGGCTGTGGCTGGTTGGCCCTTGGTTTGTGTGTTCTTCTACTAGCCACCACCACCTTCATATTTATACACACACGTATGAGGAAATCATGATTCTATAAGAATAAAGAACATATTATTGTGTTGTAATTTAGATAGGAGGGGAAAGCAACATTAGGGCATTATTAAGACAATGGCAATGAGCTGATGAACAATCACAAGGAGATATGGGTGTGGCCAGGCCAGGCAGTCTGTTTCTCATCTCTTTCTTTTGTTGTTGTTGTGAGTATTGAAAGCTGCCTGAAACAACTACTTGAAATAAAGGGTGGTGGGGAGGAGTGATTCATTTAATGATGAGAATTGAATGCCAATTGTGTTAGTAGGAGGAGGAGGAAGAGGAAGAGAATTGTAACACAGGAGCCGGTAAAGGCGATCATTTGGATTTAATCTTGGCCGTCCAATTGGTTTGCTCACCGTCAAAGCAGAGGCCACCTAAGCTACTTAGCTATAGACACCCTGCAATCCAGCTCACCTCTCTTTCCCTCCTTCACCACCACAGTGTACGAGCTTTCAATGTCACTTGCCTCCATCTGTTTTCTTTACTTTTCCTCCCCACGTCTTGGTCGATCTATATGTCCAACCGTTTTACTAAACAAAGCGGTGTGTTTGATTGTAACGTCAATGGTAGTCTGATGTTCAAACTCCATTTTTTTTTACTTCATGTATTTAGAAGTGACAAATTTGTGATTCATGGATTTTGAAGTTTTAAATTTGTGGATCCCACAAACTTGAAAATCCTTCATATTTGAGTGGAAATTGATCATGAACTTTGAAATCTATCATTATAACCAATCTATCCCTCTTATTTCCTTTCTTTTCATATCAATCCGTATCATATCACGAATTTAATGAATGTGAATTTCGATGTGGTTAGTGCGATAATGGAGAACCGGTTAACAATAATCTAAATAGCATTTGTATTAACAACGAATAGAGAAATGAAAACAAGACACGAGACATCAAGATCAAGTAAAATCACCTCATCCAATTGAGCTTAGAACCGACATTGAACTATACTCAACCCTTCATGTTGAGTTTGATTCTCTCCATGCTAATGCTACTTGGGATTTTGTTCCTAGTCATCCTGATATGAATCCTGAAGGGAGTTCTTCCTCAGTAGCTCACTGGTAGTGCGGTCGGCTGTTAACTGTTGTTGGAAATAACGACGAAGTCAGAATTTAGAGCGAGAAGGGGCTGCAAATAACAAGTTGCAACAACTTCCCAGTAATGATTCAAGATTTTGGAATGAGGGGGCTACCACTTTTTAATGTCTTTCAAGTTATGAATACACATTTATAACGTTAAACTGAAAATTGAGGGGGTGGTTATAGCCCCTAATTGTTTGCTTCTAGCTCCACCATTGGTAGGCAACCGTTGGTTTTTTCGAATTAAGTGTTGTCCTGATGGAGGGCAGTTGTACCACCCCAGTGAAATGCGTGATAGAGAATCGGAGCGTCCTAAGAATATCTCCACTAGGTGAGGAGGAAATGGAATTCTTTGAGTCAAGGGACATGGGAAGCAGATCTCTGACATGTAGGCCTCAACCAGATACTCAGCTTACTAAAAGGAGGAGAGAAGGAAAGGGAAGAAGAAGCAGAGAGCGCCACTACCAAAAAGAGGCGGGAGAAACTCAAGGCTGTAGTCCTTTTAGGAGAAAGGGAATCCAAAAAACGACCTCAATTTATTGGAGAAGCACCTCAGCCCTTCATCCGGAAAGGGCAAATGAAGAGTCAAAGGGTCTAGTGTAGTACACAACTCGTTCTCAAATAGATTGTTCAGAACGATCGTGCCTCCAAACTTCTCGTCTATGGGGTTCCCCACTTACAATGGGAGCACTGACTCGAGTGATTATTTGAGTGCATTCAAAATTAAGATGCAACCCATTAATGCGTCAAACGCTGAATTATGCAAAGCATTTCCTGTCACCTTTGGTGAGAGGTGCATAACGAAGTCTACGTCTCTTACCGAAGGAATCATCAAACTATTCGAGCAATTTGCAACACTTTTCTCCTCCAAGTTCGCGTCCCAAATCGTCTCAAGCTTACCGTGTCAACTCTCATTAACTGTTAGCAAGGAAGTGAGGAGTCTCTCACCGAATTTTATGATTGGTGGAACACCACCGCGTTTGAATTCCAAGATATATTTGTGGGCAATGTAGTCAAAATCATGATTTTAATCTTAAAATCTTATGATCTTACGATCTTACCTATGGAATCCGATCTTGATTTTGCTGTAAAATCTTTGAACCTTAAAATCCCATGAAATCCCGATCTAAAACTCTAAAATCCTTAAAACCTATGATTTCTACGATTTTTTTACGATGTCAAGGTTCATGTCAATTGGAGGAAAATCAGGCCGGTTGCCGTTTGGGTTGGATTTTGCCCATGAATCGGGTCAAGTTTACTTATCTTAACCCAATATAATCAACAACACAACCCTAACATGATAAAAGATCCTCAATTGATTTTCGTTCTCTTCCTCAGATCTTTCTCTTTCGCACCCGACACCCAACTCCTTCCATCAACAATTTCCTCCACCTCCCAATTAGCTCGTATTTTCCCCCCACCACCCTCACAATTAGCCCACACCCCATTACAATGCATGCTTTTGTTCATCTACCAAACCTTCAACACCACTATTTCCTGACTTTTATCGATCAAGTAGGGAATGCATCAATCAATGAGTTACCTTTGTCAGATGATGGCTATCAAATGATCCTAAGAATAATGATATCATTTCTCAAGAAAATTATTAAAGGATTCAGATAGGATGAGAATGAGAGTGAGGATGATGATGTGTGACGGATGATGATGTTGATCCTAACGATCTTATGTGTTTATCTAATCTTAACTACTTACCAATTAAGTGATTTCTATAAGTTTTCGTGTTTTTTATTTTTGTGTTTTTTATGTACAAGAATAAATCTATGGATTTATTTGTGTTTATTGAGCAGACAAACTTATCTTGGGAAGTAATTAGGTCCTATGTGGTTGACTGTTATTCATGATATGGATTATTGTTACTATCTGGTGTTTAAAGTATTTATTTTAATATGAACCTTAAAATTTTACAAAATTACGATTTTAATCTACGATTCCGATTTTACCAAACTTTTCGATTTTACGTAAAATCACGATTTTGACTGCATTGTCTGGGAGGGTGGCAGCAGAAAATCTATGCATGTCAACACATAGTAGTGAGCTTAAGTGAGAGCTAATTAAGAAGGGGCAATGTCTGGGCTCTTGGCAGGAGTTGGACTAGTTAGTACGCATGACAATTACTCTATAAAAAGCTTTCACCAAAGAAGATTCAAACAAGGTAAAAAACCATAAGGAAGAGAAACATGGTATCGAACAGGTCACCTCACCAGCGTGGAATGTCTTCCGAGAAGAAAAGTTACAAACTGAAATTTTCATCGCACGAAGCGCGTCAGGAAGTGTACGCCACCAGAGAAGAAAGAAAAGATAATAGGAGGAAGTAAAATTCAACGATGGAAGCCAAATGAGAGGGTAGAGCAGAGAAGTGGTGATATTGGCATTCGAGATCCACACATTATACCACTAATTGCAGGGAGTTCAAGATGAACCTAACCATCTAGCGCTTGGGTCGCTCTGCAACAGTATTAGGGTTGTAGTTTGGAGACTTGCAAAACCAGTTGGACGCCAAGCAGATGGGGAGCAAGAGGTCACCTAGTAGGCACCTCCAATCTCGATCCCCAGAAGGCACCACACTTGATCTTCAAGTCGCTATCGATTGAGGTCTCCTCAGGGGCGAAGATCTAGAATTCCGCTGCAAAATAACTTTTGATCTCCTCGAAGAGAATGGATTACCTTGCCCCCACCAGGAGGACCAAGAGAAAACAAAATTCATGACCTCCTCGACAAATTCTACTATACGGTGAGTCACATATAAGAGGATGGTTGATGCAGTCTTCCACCAGTTAATAAGAAGATATATGGAATCTTGCATGGATGACACATTGGTCAAAAGAAAACAAGTGGCATGGGGAACCACCTCGAAGACTTAAAATAAACATTCAATAATCTTAGAGCAAATTGCTTGCGACTAAATCCACCGAAGTGCATGTTCATAGCAGAGGAGGGAAAATTCTTAGGTTTATGATCACGACACAGGGCATTGAAGCTAACCCAAAACAAATCGAGGTGATAATCAATCTCAAGCCCCCCTAAGACCATCAAGGAAATCCAACTTTCAATGGCAAGATAGTTGTCGTCAACAGATTAATCTCGTGTGCGGCCGCCAAGTGTTCACCTCTCACGATTTAAATGGAGTGAAGGATGTGATAGACGCCTCCAGTTCTAAGTGCACCAGAGCCCGGAGAGCTCATTTTTCTCTACTTGGATGTTTTGATGCAGGCCGTAAGATCAGCTCTCATAAAAAGATCTGAAATCGAAGGCTGAGAGCAACCTGCCTACTATGGTAGTCGAGTCCTCCTTCTCACAGTAGAGATGCGATACATGCCCGTAGAGAAGGCAATGCTAGCCGTAGTAATGCTCACTCGGAAGCTTCGTCATTACTTCCATGGCATCCAATCACAGTACTGACCGCGTTGCTGCTGAAGAAGATCCTACAGGGATGGACACTTTGGGACGAATGACGAAGTAGGTCGTCGAGCTTAGTGAACATGACATTGACTATGCTCCCATTCTAGCCAATAAAAGACAAGTGTTCGCCAATCTCATCATGAAAGGCTTCACACCAGAAGAACAATAGGAGAAAATGAGGAGCAAGTGTGGAAGTTGATCGTGGATGGCGCAGCAGTAAAAGGAAGCGCGGGAGCAGGAATCATGATTGAGACCCCAGAAGACGTTATGCAATAAATATCCTTCTATGGAGACGTTGCTACCATTGTTGTGAGCATGTGCCTACCAGTCGGAGGATAATCATCAAAACCTGTTGTATTAGTTGGACATGACGAAGCAGTGCAAAGAGATGGGCATGCTATGTGTCATAGCTCAGAATGAGAAGGTGGCCAGAGTATACAACACAAGGGTTAAGCCGGGTGCACTAGAGGAAGGAGACTTGGTGAAGAGGGCGTTTGAAAAGATTGAAGATCAAGACAAACTGGCAGCTACATGGGAAGAATCTTACATAATCGGTCACAAAATTGGACATAGCACATTCAAGTTGGCCACCATGGAGGGGGAGCCAGTAAGAAAGACATGGAACTCAGTGCACTTGCGCAAGTATTTCTCAGCCAAAAAATGAAGAATGTAACCTCCTTTTTGGGGCATTTTGATTAAAGAAATGACAAAGGATAAGACTTGAAGCTAAGAATCTCACTTCCCTAAGGTAGCACCTGCAACACATCTCCCGATAGACATGGCGCTTCCATGGCGTCGCTCATAACACATCTCCCAGCAGAAAGAGCGACAGAACAAATCCGTGTACGGCCAAAGCGATATTCCTAACACGTCTCCAAATAGACGAAACATGCGCTAGCCTACGCCTCCAGATGAAATGTGTCCACTCGCTACACGTTTTCTGATAGACAGGGCGCATCCATAGCGTTGCTCATAAAACATCTCTCATTAGTCAGAGCGACTGTTGAAACCACTTTCGAGACACGAGCTCGCTCATAACACGCCTCCCACTAGGCAGAGCAATTTTTTGCGCAACCAAAACGATTTCCAAATACGTCTCTCGATAAGCGGAACAAGCGTCGGTCGGTGTCTCTAGATAAAATGAGTATGCCTGCTACACGTCTCCCAATATACAAGGCACATCAATGGCGGAAAAAATCCCACTGTACACACGTTCTTAAAAAAAATTCCCAAAATACATAAGTTATAAAAAAATTTCCCAAAGTACACATGTTTGGCATTCACCGTTTTTGACAAACGCAGTGAAGGTAATCACCGCGTTTGACAAAGACGGTGAATATTTCACCGTTTAAAACTAAAACGGTGACGTATTCACCGCCTTGATATAAAACGGTGATGTATTCACCGCGTTTGTCAACAACGGTGAATACATCACCGTTTTAGTTAAAAACGGTGAATACATTCACCGTGGTTGCCTAAAGCGGTGATTGTTTCCCACGTTTCCCACCCCTGGTAGGTCAAAATTAGGTCACACCTACCTAGTATTCACCGTTTGAGACAAACGCGGTGATAGTATTCACCGTGTTTGACAAAAACGGTGAATAGTAGCAAATTTTCCTATAAATACCAACCCACCAGCAGAAGCAAAAACTTACCACTCCCCCCTTCTTCAAATTTCAGCAAATAAATCGAGCATAATACACAGAACAAACATTTTTTGGTATGTCTCTTTTCGTATTATAGTCTAATTATGTTTTTAGTAGTTATAGTATGATTAAATTTTCGTATTATGTTGTTGTTAGTTAGTTGAATTTATGTTCGTTAGTTATAGTATGATTTAATTTTCGTATTATGTTGTTGTTAGTTAGTTGAATTTATGTTCGTTAGTTATGAGATGGATAATATTAGTTGTACAATATGATTTTGGTTAATTTTACTGTCTTTAAGCTAATAGATACTTATCCTCGATTTGTAGATATGGGTAAATTCAAGAAGTTTCATCTTACTATTCGGTGGAATGGAAGGGTGACAAACTCTGACATAGGCATTGATTATGAGGACGGCGAATCCATTATGCTGATAATTGATTCCCGATTCAATTTTCAAGAACTCTGTGATCTTTGTGCAGAAAGGGTTTGTACGAGCGGACAGACGAGACTTGGCAAAATTACTTACCGGTATCCAGACATGAGTGCTGGCGGGCTCGTGTTCCAAGAAGTTGTCATAAACGATGATGACGCGGTTACGATGATGTTACAGTTCCTAAGCGATAACCAAGTCCGGCTTGCAGAGGTGTATGTTGAGACCGAGGCGGTCGGTGAATCTCATTCTCACCAGTATTCTTATGATGATGGTTTTGCAGGAGGGTACGAATGGGGTGGTAGTTCGAGCAACTACCAAGGCGGTGGTTATACAGGAGGTTACGGGGAGGGTGGTGGTTCAATCAACTACGGTGGATCGAGTAGTGCAGGATGGGACAAATACTCGCAACCTCCTCAACCAGCCGATGGTGTTGAATGGCCTGCTTGGGGGTCAGAGTGGTCTGAAATCGAGAATAACATTCGATCAGGGCGTACTTCGCATGAGCGAGAGGACGATGTTGGTGATCGTGGTCATGTTGATCCTTCTAGCCCGAGCTATCCATTTGAGTCGAGCGACGAGGATACTGATGAAGATTTGAGATCAGTGAGCGAGGAGGAGGAAGATACTGATGATAACGAGGATGAGGCGGCATTTCGTGAGGCACCCACGCCATATTACACACAGGTTCCAACTCAATTTTTACATAGTCAGAATGATCCCCCCCGAGTTTGTCCCTTTGCCAGTGTACAATCCGACGGCCAATTTGGAGGTGGGTATGGCGTTCACATCGAAAGACGCTGTGCAGGATGCTTTTACAGAAGAGGCGTTGAGGCGCAATTTCGAGTGGAAGGTAAAATATTCTGACAGTAAACAACTACATGTCATATGCAAGCATGATACAGAGGGTTGTACGTGGCAACTGCGGGCTGCAAATATGAAGAGAAAGGGTGCTTGGGTGATTCGCAAAGCTGAGACGATCCACACATGCTCCTCTTCTATACTTTCCCAAGATCACAGGCAACTAAAAGCAAAGAAAGTTGGGAGAACTATTAAGCACCTTATAGAAGCACAACCAGATATCAAGGTGAAAGCTATCATGGCAGAGGTGAAGGATCGACATTCTTACACGATACGGTACAAAAAAGCATGGCATGGTAAGCAGAAAGCCATGGCTGAGGTGTATGGTGATTGGGAGGATTCTTATGCTTTACTCCCTAGACTTATGGGATCAATGGAGGAGTCCAATCCTGGGACTGTTTTCGTCCCAGTATACAACAATGTATACACTGAGGATCAAGTTCGAGTACAGGATAAGCTGATGTTCCATCGTCTTTTTTGGGCTTTTAAACCATGCATTGACGGTTTTGGGTTCTACATACCGGTTATTCAGGTATAGAACCAACTGATGCCGATTTTAAATGTTGTATTATTTTCTGTTACGTAAATTTCATACTAATTAGATCCTAAATTTTTATTCAGGTTGACGGAACTTTCCTTACTGGGAAGTACAGAGGATGTCTTCTAATTGCAACTGGCGTTGATGGAAACAGGCGGATTTTCCCGCTTGCATTTGCATTAGTGGAAGGGGAGAACAGCTTAAGTTGGGCATGGTTCTTTGACCAACTACACGAACACGTGACACAACGGGAAGATATTACGATTATATCCGATCGACATGCGGGGATTAGGAATGCTGTTGGTGGTTTTCCCGACGAGTGGGGATGGAGATGGAGATGGTGTATTCGACACTGGCTCGCCAATTTCCAGCACAAATTTGGGAAGAAGAAAGACATCAAAAATCAACTTTGGAATGCAGGTAGTAATGTTTTTCTTATGCGATTTAAGTTTGTGTTTATTAAGCTGATGTTATTCATCATGTATTGACCAGTTTCGATTTTGTTCACCTTTCAGCGGTTGCACATCAACCAAAAAAGTATGAGCAGAAGATGAAAACAATTCGTCAGACCCACCGAGCTGGAGCAGTATGGGCTGAAGGTCAAGAGTTGCCCATGTGGACGTTCCATATGGAGAACGGGGCCAGATGGGGCATTGCAACTACCAACCATGGAGAAAGTATAAATAATGTGTACAAGGGTCTTCGAGCGATGCCTGTTTCTGTCATCGTGGAGATGTCTTACTGGAAGGTCAACGAGTGGCGAGTTGCTCGGCTACAGCAAGCTATAGGGAGGGAGTTGCAAGGTCATTCAATAGCACATGACGTATTCGCTCAAATGCAGAAGAACGATGAAAAATCAAGTAAGCATAAGGTTGTTCTTTTTGACCGCAGTGAAGGAATATTCGCTGTCGAAACAGGTATATGGGGTGGAGGGAGACGTGGTCACAATCGTCAAACGGTTAAATTGCACTACGAATTAGGGGAGTGTTCTTGTCAAAAGTATCAGAACGAAAGGATACCCTGTTCACATGCAATGGCGGTTGCTAAGTCAATAACCATGAACAGAAACAGCCTGGTGAGTCCTTACTACACTGAACAAGCGATACGGAACTCATATAATGCAGCTTTGAGCCCCATGCCAGATGAAGCGTATTGGCCTATATACGCTGGAAAGTTGATTATCCCACCGTTGCACCTAAAACGCACCAAAGGCCGTCCTAGAATTGAAAGGATATACAATGAGATGGATCAAGTTGAACGGACGAGAAGGGGACCGAAGCGATGCTATAAGTGCAGACAACCTGGTCACGACAAGAGGCGTTGCCCAGGACAACCATCATCAACTTAATTTGCATTTACTTGTATTCTGCTACTAAATTAATGGCTTGTTAAATTATTCATTACCGTTTACATTTGAAGTCCAAGTATTATGTTAACTCTAAAATGTTCTCCTTGTCGATACGATCGCGCTGCCGCAAACGGCTCGTTATTTCGACCTCAAACGAATAAGATACGCGCGTTTTAGTTTTTAGTACGCAAAAGATACTTTAACGATACGATCGCTCTTTGAACTCACTTATCTCACTCGTTTGGACTCGGAATTGGGATCTGTAAAATTCTATGTGATCGTGGTTGATTTTCCCAACTTTTTCGTGTTGAGGGGAGATACTGATTCTTGCTAAAATGATCCAGAAAATTAATTCGACAACTTAAGTGCGTAGGATAGTTTTTAGACAATGCAAACTCAAATAACAACACCTAAAAAGCACAAAAACAACATGGATAGTTCACTACAATGATAAAACGATAAATTCACTCATTTGCTTCATTTTGGCCCCCATCTCCACCTCTTCCTCCTCGTCCTCCACGACGTCCTCGACCCCTTCTTCCCCCTTCCGCCGCTGCTTCTTGGCGGGCTCGCTCAACGGCTGGTCGCGGATTTCTCTTGACCCGAGCCCCAACTGGGGTTACATATGGTGGTGGTGGTGGCTGAGATGGAGCGGTAGCTTGGCGAATGATCGGAGGTTGCGGAGTTTGTTGTTGCGGGGTCTGGTACATCGAACTCTGTTGCTGATGTTGGAATTGAGAGAACCCATGAGAGAAAGTGTCCCACTCCTGAGATGCTCCACGACTCGATGACCCTCCACCGGCTTCCGCTGTAGGTGCCCACTGGTACTCGAACGGTTCAGGGATCTCGGTTTCTCGAGTTGTACGCACCTCATCGAATGTAGGTAGAGGCCTGCGTTTGCTCCTTCGTGGGGGCTCAACCGGGGGCACAATGGGTGCATCATCACGGAATGAGGGTCGTGCCGGGGCAGGAACGGGAGGATAGGCCACGACATCCCTCCTTTGCTCTCTGGTACAACTCAGGAGGTTGTTCATAAGTCGGGTCAACCAATTAGTCTTCCGCTCATCCATGGTTGGCGCACTTTCGAGGGTGTACTTGGCATGTTCCAAACCATCAACCTAAGGAAAGCACTTATCTTATCAAATTAACTAAACCTTAAAATAAATAGATTTTTGAATGAGGGAGATTAGGATGACTTACCAACGACCCCATCACAGCACCTTGCTTTGACACCCATCTCATGGTGAACTTCCGATACCACTGCATGTACCCATCGTGGTAGCCCATCGGTCTCGTCTCCGGCATCCCTTGCACCACCCATTGGGACCGATTCTCCCAGATGTTGATGTAGAATCCATGCTTTAGCACCCAGTTCTTTGCAGTGTGACGGAGGTCAATAGCATGTAGCTCCCTGAAACCGGCTGGTGGAATTGGTTGCTCCATTCGATATTGCCTCAAAGATCGATCGGGTAGGTGCCATTCCACCATGTGCCAGCAGATCAATGGCACTTTGCACAACCACGTCTCGTGATCTAGAGGGTGCCTAAGATGATGCAGCTCACCCACTTCACGTGGATATGGATCCCATATAACCTATATTCATTAAAAAATTCGGAATTAATGACCATTTACATTGACAAAATTTAACTTGTTCAAATATGGACAAAATATGATTACCTGATTCCACCATGGTTTATCTAACTCAGAACGATAAAATAATAACGAATGCTCAGGTTGATGGTCATTCGTATTTGCTCCTATCCACCTTGTAAGTAAAAGTACGGATTCAATTTAGTTGAAATATAGCTAAGCATATAATAAATTAAATTGGTCTAAGTACGTAATAAATAAAATTAAAATCTAGCTAAGCATGCAATCAAAATTAAATTGGGCTAAGTACGGAATAAATTCAATTTAAATCTAGCTAAGCATGCAATCAAAATTAAATTGGGCTATGTACGGAATAAATTCAATTTAAATCTAGCTAAGTACACAATCAAAATTAAATTGGGCTAAGTACGAAATAAACTTACTTGACACCGTAGGGGAGATTTTGCAGAAAGTTGAGTTCATCATCGTTTCTCCGGTATGGACGTGGGTCGGGAGGTGCGAACATCGGGAGATGCTCCCATACCCACAGTTGCAGGATGAACATCGCAGCACCAGCTTGCTTTGCCCCAACCTTCGAGCAAGTACACAGCTCCCGGTATACGCCCGCTAGCACGACCGATCCCCAACTCTTCTCTCCAATTGCATCCCAGTCACCAGTGAGCAATGGCAACCATATGCCTTGAATCCACCGGTTGGACTTGTCGGGGAACAAAAATCCACCCACCAAACCGATGAGGTAGATGCGGGCGTAGCGCTCGACTTGTTCTTCCGGTGTCTCGTCATTGATTTCCACCTCTTGCTGGATGTGAGATACCAGCCACGGGACCGACACTTGCCCCGCATTCAACGGTGGATGCCCCCGTCCTTGAATTGATGTGGTGGTCGGCATGTCGAAGCCCAAACGATCACGTATGAGCGGCCCCCAACCTCCTTCGGGTTTGGTCGTGGAACCAATGATTGCATCTCCAGAAATAGGAAGCCCGGTGAGGATCGCCACGTCTTTGAGGGTGATCGTCATTTCCCCCTCCGCAAGGTGGAATGTATGGGTTTCGGGACGCCATCGTTCCGCCATTGCCGTAAGCAGATCGTTGTCGATCTCGATCCGCAAGAAATGGCGCAACATTCCCAAACCGGTCCTCGCTATGTAGGGCTCCAACCTTGGATGCCAAGCGGGCAAGTTATTGGTCCCTTTATGAACCACGGGAACAAGCGATTCCTAAAACAAATAGGGAAAATAACAATTTATTAGATTAAATAAAGCAAAATAAAACCTTAGAAAATAATAAAATAAAGCAAGAATACTCAAAAAATTACCGGATAGTTATCCCAAATAGCACGGGAGCGATGAACTTCTTGATCGGTTAAGAGACTCGCATCCCTTGGGCCATAATGGATATACAATCGAGGATCGTATATCTCGGCACCCATCTATAAAAAAGTAATGAAATCAGAGATTGTTTTGATAAAAAAACAAAAAATCAAATTGTTTCGATTCAAAAAAATTCATAAACCAAAAACCTACACGAAGAGCCTCTTCGTCCATTTTTTGGCGTAGGCCGGACAGAGGTTCGACGATTTTAGGTTTGTAAGGGACGGGGGCTTTAGGGTCAAACTCTAGTAATTCTTTCTGATGTGGAAGATCGGACTTAGCCGCAACCACAGAGCATACTTAGAACGAGACTAGAGCGGATAAATTGAGGGAGAAAGAAGTGAAATGTTTGTGGGGTGAGTTGAAAGTGAAAGGGGAAGGGGTATTTATAGTTGGGGGAAGGGGGGAGGCGCCTGCGCAGCATTCAATTGGAGCGCCTTCACCGCGTTAGTCAAACGCGGTGAACTCATCGCTGTACACAAACGCGGTGTATTCACCGTGTTTGTCTAACGCGGTGAATACCCCGCGTTTGTCCACGTCAGCTCCTTCACCGCGTTTAATAAAAACGGTGAAGGCTTCACCGTTTTAAACTAAAACGGTGATAGCTTCACCGTTTCAGTTTAAAACGGTGAAGCCTTCACCGTTTTAGACTAAGACGGTGAAGGCATCACCGTTTTAGTTTAAAACGGTGAAATGTTCACCGTTTTTATTAAAAGCGGTGATAGTCTTCACCGCCTTTGTCGAACACGGTGATGCCCAAACATGTGTAGTTTTGGAATTTTTTTTATAACTTATGTATTTTGAGAATTTTTTTTAAGAACGTGTGTACAGTGGGATTTTTTCCCATCAATGGCGTCACTCATAAAAAGTCTCCTAGCAGACAAAGTGACTGCCAAAACCACTTCCTAGGCACGAGCTCGCTCATAACACGCCTCCGGCGAGGTAGAGCAAGTTCGCGTACAACCAAAGTGATGTTTCTAACGCGTCTTCTGATAGTCAAAACAAGTACCATCCTACTCGTTCAAACAAAAATTGGAACATGAAGTAATTAACAATTGAGATAGTGCATAACATTAATATAGTAATACACATTAAAATTGTGGTTATATAACTATTCAAAAAAATTAACAAGATATTAAAGTAATGTATTTGATTATTTTAAAAGAACGGAATTTTTTAAAGAGAAAATGGAAGAAAATTTGGTTCTTTTAATTTTTGAAAAATAAAGGAGAAAATTTTAGTGCTTTTAATTTATGGGAAAAAAAAGAAGAGAAATTTTTTGTTGTTTTGATTTATGAAGAGAGAAACCAGAGGAAAATATTTGTGTTTTCAACTTTTTGGAAAAGGAAACAAGGGAGAAATTTGATTCTTTCATTTTTTTGAGTGAAAATTCTTTCATATTTTTGGAAGAGAAAGAAGAGGGAAACTTGAATGCTTTTAATTTAGGGTTATAGGTATAATATGCCCCTCTACTATGACATTTTATAAAAAATGCCCCTTTACTATTTCTTACATAAAATATGCCCCTGTCCTTGGAAAAATTACCAAACATGCCTTTGTTAAATTTTCATCCAAAAAGCGTTAACCATGACCGAACTTTGGTTTGGGCGACCCAAATGTCTAAAATATCCCTAATAATTTCACTTTAGAGTTTTTTTTGGTTCTTTTGTATAGCCAAATAATTCTAATAATTTCACTTTTACGAGACCCAGAGAAATAAAACAAGGGTCAAAACTGACATTTCCCCTCCATTTGTCGATGCCAGGTCGTCTAAATCTCGGTTCAACCATGATTGATGGTTTTTTCAATGGAAATTTCAACTGAAGAGCATGTTTGATAGTTTTTCCAAATTATAGGGGCATGTTTGATGTAAGAAATAGTATAGGGGGCATGTTTGATAAAATGTCATAATAGAGGGGCATATTATACCTATAACCCTTTAATTTATGGTAACAGAAAGAAGAGAAATTTTGGTGTTTTCCAATTTTTGAGTGAAAAGAAAGAAGGAAAAAATATTGTGCTCTCAACTTTTTGGTGTTTCAAGTTCAAAATTTTAGTCTTCTTAACATGAATCTTGAATTTTTATATGGAGACCAATATTAATTGACTATATTATATCATTGTATGGAATGACTAATTGACTATATTAAATTTGACAACCTATCATCATATCTTGAATATAATATCATTCGAACGATCACAAATGCATATTATTTTATAATATATTATAAAATAATTAATTATTAACTTAATTATCACAATATTTACATAAGATGGTTTAGGAGTTGAAGAGTTTAACATTTAGTGACTAAGACATTATCTATAGTAAACCTTCATATTGTCTTATAGGGCAATGCCGAATTGGATATATTAGACTATCTCAAATGCATGTTATCTTATCTTAATAACGTCACTCGAACTATCTCAAATGCATGTTATTTTAAATTATAGATCATATACTTGATTATTAACCAATGTGATTATCACTATCTTTATAGTTATGAGTTAAAAGTTTAACATCAAGTAACTAAGACATTGTCTATGCCTCTATGGTAAACCTTATTATAGGCATATAAGGCATGACTAATTGGCTATAATATATTTGAGAACCTATCATGAGTTATCTTATCAAAATAAGGCATGACATAATCATTATTACAATACTAAAGTAAATATTTGGCTCATCTGAGGTGTGCTCGAGTTGCATTTTAGTTTCAAAATGAGGTTAAAATTACTCTATTAAGACATATCATTGTAATAACTCAATCATCTAAAGATTACAAAATTAATTTAGCACTTTGACAAAATATTTGAACTTTTGTAAGTACTTATACAAAAAAATTATAAGTACATAAGTAATGTACAAAAAGTTTTTCTAAAAATTATAACGAGTAAAGAGTAAGTAATACAATGCGCTGATCCCAAACAACTCGCAACCCAATCTACTCGCAACCCGCCCAACCCACAACCCGATGAACACATAATCCGATTGACCCGCAATCCGATGATACCACAACCCGAGTAACCCGTAACTCGATAAACCCGAACTCGACTAACCTGTAAGTCGTAACCCGCCTAATTCGTAACCCGCCTAAATAACCCGAGTGAACCCAACCCAAACCCAATCGGTTGACACCTCTAGCTAAAACAGTTACAAATATTTATCTCTCTAAACAAAGTGGAAAACAACATCTTAGTATATAGATTTAAAGCTAAGAAGAAATAGACCCCCTTTATGGTGTTAACCTAAGATAAAGGATTCATGTGAATTGAT